TTGTCAATAGTAGTTTGTATTATAATCTTGTATGAAACCATAGAAGTTGAGAGGTTCCCTTGATTGTTGTTTATACATTGAAGCATACTAAAGAACACAAAATGATGTGTCATTGTTAGGTGAGAGTTAAGAGGCGTGACAATGGTGTCAAAACTAATATTCCCCTGGCTTATTGGCTAACATGGTTGATCGTGTAAAAAATGTGCTTGCTGATAATCAACAAAACCTTTTTTATATTGCAAAACAAAAGAGAGATGATTGTGTATAGATTGTTGAGACCTATGATGAATGTGTGAATGCTCTGAATAGAAGGAAGGTTGTCTTAGCTTCATGGTGTGGTGAAGAGGTTTGAATACCAGCCTGACTTGCAATATTTGTGTTTGTTCTGAATTTCATATACTTCTTTTTATTTTAATTTAATGTCTTTTTTGTACTTGTTTAAGGACTGTTTTAGGACTATTTAGCGTCTATACTTTTCTGATATTTTTGTTCTTCTTTTTAGGTTTGATTCTGACTAACCTTGTTCCATTGATTTTAGACAATGTCATCATCGCCGATTCATATCTGAAATTATTGCAGAACTTATAAAGCACTTATATATATATAATATATATATATATATATATATGGAGATGCATCTAAAAAATCATATGCTCCTAATGATATAGTGGTTTACATAAATAGAGATTATGGTGTGACGGTGAACAAGTTAAAGAAGGCTCTTGCTCATAGAGATGATTTATGTTTTGTCTCAGACCGGCATGATGGAATTATTCATGCAGCAAGAAGAGTTTCTCCACACGTTGAACATGGAATCTAAAACTGATTTACCATGGAAATTCAACTAGGCAGTCAAGTCCGCCACAAGAGTTGAACTTGAAGAGTATTTGTCTTTACTAGACGTTGAGGATCCTCCTATTTGTGATTTTTTCGAAGTTCAACTGAAGAGTTTGGCTCCCAACAACGTTGTTCACGGTGTAAGAAAGGTGGACACAATAAGTCTTGGACGAATACTATCCCGATACGTACTTCTTAGTTTGATAATATTCTATGGATTCAATTTTTTATTTCCTAGAAGAACATTTATAAGACTTGTTTTTTCTGTCGCTATTCTTAACAACCATGGCCAGTTAGCATTACAATTTATATTAATTGTCATGGTTTTTAGCAATTCAGTTGATGTACTTTTGGTTGTCATGTGTACTTAAGTAGCAGACATATTCAAAATTAATGTATTCTTACTATGTGTTTAATGACTATCTCATTTGTTTATATATACTGTCTGCCTCAAATTGCAATAAAATCTTCAACTTCATATGGATTTGTAACAATTGGTGTCCCACATGTTTTACTTGTCCACCTTTAAAAACTCTATGTTCATATTCATGGGGTATGTATTATAATTTTATACTAATTGTTGTACTTCATTTTAGTTATACTAATTTAATGTTCAAAAAGGACATTACATATTTACGTATAGTCATTTCCATAAGAACTTTATGAATAACACTAAAATAAGACTGTATTTAAGCATTATTTCATCAATTGAATCTATTAAATTTCATATTTTCTTTATAGTTTTGTATTAATTTTTGTACTTTTTAGTGTGGAAGAGTGATCTTGTATCATCTTTTCCCCTCTTTTTAATTTTCAATTGCATTTGAATCTTCAAATTCTTGCTTCCAAGTTCTGGCTGGCAATACCGCGAAGATAGAAGAGCGTCCTGTCTCAGAAATTCACGGACTTCGCTGATTGATACGATGAAAGTTTCATCTTCAATTGCAAATCCTAATGTCAACTCAAACCTATCATGGAAGAAGCGGAAGGAAATCGTCGATTCAGACCGGAAATAGATGTCGGGTTACATAGTCTACCTGTGTGGATGGACTCAGGAGGAGGGACCAAGCTACCGGCCAGTGGATCTACTCGTTGAAGCTTAGCTTGTGGATGCTCTCCATCAAATCTGTCGTAGATGTGAGACTCCATCTGCCACGTTCGACCATCGTACTATTCGGGAGGCTGCTTATGGAGCCCGGATCCATTGATAGCTGGCAAGATATGGAACGTGAGTTCTTAAACCATTTTTATAGCACAAGGAGAGTGGTCAGTTTACTCGAACTAACAACTACTCGTCAATGGAAAGATGAATCTGTGATAGCTTACATAGAGCGTTGGAGGGATCTTGCTCTAAACTGCAAAGAACGAATATCTACAAGTTCCGCTATCGATATGTGCATTGAAGGAATGCATTGGGAATTGTGCTACATTCTCAAAGGAGTCAATCCAAACACTTTTGATGAGCTAGCAAGCAAAGCTCGTAACATGGAGTTGAGCATTACGAGCAGTAGAAGGAAAACCTTGGGTATATATCCCATCAATGATGTTGTTGAAAAGCAAGATACCAAGAATGGGGGCAAACCCTTTTCCAAGTTTGAAAAGAAAGAAGCAATGGTCGCGAAGGTTGCACCTGTTAAGATTTTCACTCAAAATTCAAAACATGTCCCTAGAGTTGACTTGGAAACGTTAAAACGTGTTAAACCATTTTTAGAAGAGATGTTGGAAAAGAAGTACCCCTTCTTAGACTCTGACGTTCCTCCCATGTTTGAGGAACTGATGAGATTGAAGCTCATAGATTTGCCCGAGTCCAAACGACCTGAGGAAGCTACAAAGGTTGATGACCACAACTACTGCAAGTATCATCGAATTTTAAGTCAACCCACTGAGAAGTGTTGGGTGCTTAAAGATAAAATTATGGCCTTAATTAGCCCGCGAAGGAAAGATTGAACTAGCTGATTCTGCCGCAAGCACAAACCAAATCAACATTACATTTGGTAGGTTTGCTCCGCTCATGGTCAACAATGACCTAAGTTTTCACAAGCATAAGCTCCCTTTTACTGTCAAGGAAATGAAAGAATTTCTTCCTCTCACTAAAAGAATGGCACTTGAGAATGTTGATGACCAAGGAAGATCATGGACTTTGGTAACTCGAAAGAAACAAAAGAAGAACCACACACCTAAGCCACAATCGAGGAAAGTGGTAAAGAATTGGGTCAGGAAACAACCGATAAACGAATTAAAGCAAAAGAAACAAAAGAAAGATTGTGTTCATTCCAAGACTGCACGAAGGGTGATTACTCTCAACGATTTTATGCCAAAGGATTTCAAGAACGAGATGACTCAAATTTCAAGTTCTTGTGTTAGCACCCATGAAGAAGAAGTTGAGAGTTCAAGTGGATGTCCATCTCTAGTTTCGACTAAGAAAGAAGTGGTCGAAGCACAAAAATCTACTTCATACGTCACTGACATTATCTTTAAAGACGAAGATCTCATGTTGGGTGCTACTCCCCATAACCGTCCGCTTTTTGTTGAAGGATACACTCGTGGACAAAGATTCAAAAGAATTATGATTGATCAAGGGTCTGCCGTTAACATTCTGACGGTTCGAGCTATGAAAGACCTTGATATATCAATGGATGAACTCTCCCAAAGCCGCTTGATGATTCAAGGCTTCAATCAAGGGGGGCAAAGGGCGATTGGAATGATACGTCTTGATTTGATCATAGGCGGACTGAAGGAAAACACTCTATGCCATGTGATTGATGCAAAGGCTTCATACAATCTCCTCCTAGGACGCCCATGGATCCATGAGAACGGTGTAATCCCTTCAACATGGCACCAATGCTTCATGTATGAGCAAAATGGCGTTGTAAAGAAGGTAGTGGCCGATGAAACTCCATTCACAGAAGCCGAGGCATACTTTGCAGATGCGAAGTTTTACCTAAAGGCCAAAATTTCTAAAGATGACAATGTTAGACAAGAGGAAGAATATCGCCCCTTGATTGGACCAAAGCTGAAAGGAAAGCTTGCTGAAGGCGTAGAAGGGCTTACATTTCCTCTTGCAAAGATTGAAATATCAAAACCTCCTCAAAACACATCTGAGGAGGAAGTAAAAAGTGGGAATGATGTCAAGGCATTTCAGCTCCCTAAAGCACGCACAAATGAAGGATTTAATCCAAACGCATACAAACTTCTGACCAAGATTGGGTATAATCCCAACGAACCGATTTTGAGAAAACTCATTCCAAAAGGTGGTGGAGGAGGGAAACTGAAGCAGATCAATCTTCAAGGGCACACAGGATTGGGTTATGTTCAGCCGAAACCCATAAGGATCCTCATAAATAGAGCCGCAACGCATCATATTAGTGCTGATGAAGAAGATGAAGTAACTTCTAAACTGAAGTATTCGGTCTTTGATCGGATTGAGGGGGTAAGATCAAGGCCCGCCATCTTTGATAGATTGGGTCCGAAGCCAAAGAAAGTTATGAAGATGACTTTACAAGAACGGCTTGGAACAAGCTCAATGATGATGAAACACGTTGAAGACACATGCACAGGACAAAACTTCAAAAGAACGTCTGTTCATGAACGATTGGGATTGAAACATGAACGCAATACATCTGCTAAAGTTTCTCTCGAAAAGCAAAGTCTTAATGAGTATAGAAGTTTTAACTCATCTCGTATGAAGCGAGAAACTGATGTGAAAGTGACCTATGGGAATGCATTTAAAGTCAAACCAGTGGCCATTGTGCACACCCGTGGTCAATATGAAGACCAATATGAAGATTCAGTACCCTAGATGTCGGGGTATATATATGTCAAATAAAGTGTTGAAAGGCTTAAACCACCAATGACGTTGTAAGTGGCTAAACTGCTAAAACATCTCACTTTGTCTATGGGTGAGCATAATCATAGATACTCTTGGCCCACGAGAGTTAAAATTGTGTACGACAAGCTCCTGGTCCGCATGAGTTAAAACTGTGTACGGCATCCCCACCTCTTTTTAGATTACCAATTCAAATGGTACGTGTGAACTACGTTTTACTTGATCTCCTTCATAGGAGTACGTAGGCAGCTCAATAGTTTCATTTTTGAGTTCAGTTATAACAAAATAAATTCCAATTAATTCATTTTGTCAAAGCGAATATCAGAAGAAGGCTTAGGAAAAAAATAGATGAACAAAAAAGGCTTAAGGAATTTTTCCTCATTGGAAGTGGATTGAGTTGGGCTTCGAACGACGTCTCCACAACGACGCCACCATCCCAACAACGGAGTAGGTGGCGACGACGATAAAAATGTCTTTGAAGTATTGAACGAAGCTACCATCCCAACAACGAACAGGTGCCGACGACAATAATGATGATGTCTTATTGTCATTATTAATAGCAAGTCTAAAAAGCATCTAAAATAAAGCCCATCCATTAATAATAATGGGGGTTAAAATCCTAGAGAGGCCCAACCATTAATAAAGCCCATTCAAATCAATTCTTTCAGCAGAGATAGATCTATCTCCGTGTCATCTCCTTGAGCTAAAGTCGCTCATCCGTCGTGTTCACAGCATATGAAGGCGGCAATTATATCATCTCCCGTCATCTTCTTCATGCCGCAGGTACGAGTATATCAGAAACAAAGCAGATCCCCATCTGGCCAAGAATTAGTTTCGAGCTTGGCAAGACCTTCTTCTTCGATGAACCGGAGCAAAGCCATGGATCTGCTCCTTCCTCTTCAACGGACGCGCATGTAATAAAAAGAAATCAGCAGCCGCTTTGCTTCCTTGAAACCTCCGTCCGTGGCATCAGCAAAGTTCTTGCCGGCGCATCTCAGGCTGGACGATTTCAGCAACGACAATAGCTTTTCTCTCCGCCGAGCGGCAACAAAAGAAAAACAAAATCAGCCTCAGCGTCTTCTCCAAATTATTGGCGTCGACACCATCTAGCTTCCACAACGGGCCAGTCTTTAGCCACAACAGCTCCGGAAGAATTCTACTCTGCTACTGGTTGAAATTCGGATGAACCAGCATCATCTCCGCCGCATCAACTGAACGATGGCCAACATTTCCTCCAATCACCGACCTCCTTCAACGGTCGCATCAATTCATCAGTCAGGATCTTCTTCAAGCACCAACTGGCTTCCAGCACGAGCAGCCCGGCAAGAGGCGTCAGCATCTTTTCCAACACCAACTAGCTTCCAACACGAGCAGTCCTGTAAGAGGCACCAGCGTCTTCTCCAACACCAACTAGCTTCGATCTGCATCAGCGGCAAGAACAAGAGCAACCCACTGCAGCTTCGGAAGAATCTCGCTGCAGGACTCTCTCGCCAGAAATCAGCAACAAAGCATCGAACACCGTCTCCCTCTTCGGCAGAAATTCAATTGTGATTTCCCGATTCTCCTCACACCAATTTGGAGCTGATGTTGATCGTCATCACCAACTGAGGTAATTCTGGTACGGGCTGATGGATGTGTTCAAGAAAATTCCCCTGCAATTTCACAAAAAGAGATGTGTGGGGTTCAAAAGAAAAACACGAGAGTGAATTTACCTTTCAATATGTCGATCTCTCTTTCTCCAGCCTCCAAAGCGTTAAGTGATATAGTTGAAATGGATTGCCAGATCATTATTTCTTATTTTGGGTGGTTAGGGGTTATGCGTGTAATTAGAAGCTATCAAAATAGAACACGTGGCAAGTCTGTTGAGTTAGTTTGTTGAGCTGAGCTAACTTTGAACTTGTCATCAGTCTATATAGCTTCGGTTGTACAGGAAAAATGATATGAATATCTTGATTCTTGATTGTCTTCTTTCCCAATCTATCTCCTCTCTATTACTCTGTTAATTTTCAGCATATGAGTCTCGTTATCTACTTCTCTTACATTTAATAGATAGCCTGATTCATATCAATGGTATCAGAGCCTTGATCCGACTACCTTGGAACGATTGAAGAAGAATGGCGCAGACGCGAAACTTCAATTCAGAGATGGAGGAAGCCCTAAAAGTCATCCAGCTGGAGTTTGATCAGAAATTGGAGAGTCAAAACAAAATCATGATGGATATGATGAACAAGATTATGAAGAAAGTGGTGGATATGCAGAAATCTAAGTCTGTAAGTGAGATAGAGACTGATGAAGACCCTGATTCCCAGGATAAAGAGGAGGAATCATCCGAGGAGGAATCAGATGGAATCATTGGCAAATCTGCACCAACAAATGGCTTTCGATTCTCACCTAAAGTAGAATTCCCCACTTTTGAAGGCCAGAACGCAAAGCTGTGGATTCAGAAATGTGAGAGGTATTTTACACTTTTCAATATTCCTGACAATCAGAAAGTTAATCTAGCATCATTATATTTGGAGGGAAGGGCTGCCAGTTGGTTTGGACATTATATAGGGTCCAAGAAAAGGTTGAAATGGAAACATTTTATTGCTGATGTGAATGCTAGATTTAAGGATAACCTGAGTAATAAAGTGGTGGAAAGGTTTAACAGTTTGAAACACACTGGGTTATTGAAGACTTTTATTGATGAATTTGAAACCCTGAAGGCTGCCATGATACAAAGGAATCCCAAATTGCCATCTAGTTATTTTTTGGACTGCTTCCTTGCTGCTTTAAAGCCTACAGTAAAATCATTTGTCAAAGCTTTCAATCCTAAAAATATGGCAGAAGCAATTGAGATTGCTAGGCTACAAGATGAGACAGTTGAAGCTTTTACAGTACAGGCCAAGTCTGCAAACTTTCAGAAAATAGCTCTTAACAAACCTATACTACCAACACCTAATCAGCCACCAAAGACTGTTATTAACCCATATAAGTCTAGTGGTACACCTGTACCTAGAAGGTTTGTATCAGCTAGTGAAAGAGCTGAAAAAAGGGCTAAGGGTTTATGTTACTACTGTGATCAGCCCTATAACAAAGAGCATGTGTGTAACCATAAGGGCACACAATTTTTTTTGGTTGAAATCACTGGTAACCAGTTGGAGGAGGATAAGGAAGAAGAAATAATAACACAGGAGGGCAATGTTGAGTATAATATGCAGGAGGAGGAGCCCTTGATATCCTTTCATGCAATCAATGGTTATGCAGATTATAGAACCATGAGATTGAATGGATATGTGGATAAAAAGAAGCTGCTGATGCTGGTAGATTCAGGGAGTACACACAATTTCTTAAGCTTGAATATGGCTAAGAAATTAGGGTGTAGGCTGGAGGAAGTCAAACCTGTAACTGTGGCAGTAGCTGATGGCTCTCACACCACATGTAAGTATATTTGCAGACAATTCGCATGGAAGATGCAAAATGCTTACTTTCAGGGAGACATTTTAGTTCTTCCATTGGGTGGTTATGACATGGTTTTGGGAGTACAGTGGTTGAGTACTTTGGGAGAAATCCAATGGAATTTTCAGGATTTGTACATGAAGTTTGAACACAGAGGTCAATCAGTTGTTTTAAGAGGACAGAAGATGGGTAAGTTGAAGGCAATACAGGGGACAAAGAAACAATTCAACCAGATTACTCAGTTATGTCTAATTCAGTGTCAGGCACAATCAGCTGAAGATGGAGAGGAATATGTGGGGAAACATTTTGGAATTAATATGGTTGGCAAGACAGACAAGTATGTTATTCCTGAAGGCTTACAGCTGTTGATTGAACAATATAAAGATATTTTTGAAGAACCACAGGGACTTCCACCTAGCAGAGGGGTCTTTGATCATAGAATTCCTGTCAAAGAGGGTTCTCAACCTGTAAATGTGAGGCCATATAGATACCCTTTGAAGCAGAAAGACATTATTGAAGAAAAGGTTAAGGAATTATTAAAGAAAGATGTTATCCAGCCCAGTGCCTCACCATATGCCTCACCTGTAGTGTTAGTAGGGAGAAAAGATGGTGATTGGAGATTATGCATTGATTACAGAGCCCTAAATGATCAGACCATCAAAGATAAATTTCCCATACCAGTGGTAGATGAGCTAATTGATGAGTTAGCTGGATCAAAAATATTTTCAAAAATTGATTTAAGAGCTGGGTATCATCAGTTGAGGGTTCATAAAGATGATGTATACAAGACAGCTTTTAAGACTCATTATGGACACTTTGAATTCCTGGTTATGCCATTTGGTTTAACTAATGCACCAGCCACTTTTCAAGTGTTTATGAACCATATATTCAGGGAGTTCTTGAGAAAATTTGTGTTGATATTCTTTGATGACATTTTAGTATATAGGGTAGTGCTGATTTAGAAACACATAAAGTACAGTTGAAGTTAGTTTTTGATGTGTTGAGGCAACATCAGCTATTTGCTAAAATGAGTAAGTGCACTTTTGGAATCAAGAAGGTGGAGTATCTAGGGCACTATATTTCTGGGCAAGGGGTGGAAACAGATCCAAAGAAGATTGAGACTATTGTGCAGTGGCCTACTCCAACATCACTTAAACAGCTCAGAAGTTTTCTGGGCTTGGCAGGATATTATAGGAAGTTCATTAGAGGTTATGCTTTAATAACTAAACCTCTTACTGAACTACTGAAGAAGGGTTCTTTTCAGTGGAATGATGGAGCTACTCAAGCATTTGCAGAACTTAAAAAGGCTTTAACAACTGCTCCAGTACTATCTTTACCTGATTTTGAAAAACAATTTGTGGTAGAAATTGATGCCTCTAGCACTGGCATAGGAGCAGTACTAATGCAGCAAGGACACCCTTTGGCATTTATCAGCAGATCATTGGGTATAAGGTGGCAGAAATTATCAGTTTATGAGAAAGAGTTACTGGCTTTGGTATTTGCAGTCCAAAAATGGGAACAATACTTATTTGGCCAAACGTTTGTTATCAAAACTGATCAGAAAAGCCTGAAGTGGCTGTTGGAACAGAAGATTTCTACCCCATTCCAACAGTTTTGGTTGTCTAAATTGATGGGATTCAGATATGAAATTCAGTACAAGAGTGGGACTGAGAACAAGGTGGCAGATGCTCTCTCTAGAGTTTCAGGAGCTGAATTGCTATGTCTAGCCGTTTCATCTATCAGTTCTGATCTTTTGGACCTAATAAAGAAGAGCTATGAAGGGGATGATAGGATACAACAACTCATAACAGAACTGAAAACAAACTCTAATGATAGAAACAATGCCTATACTTGGCAGGATGATTTAGTGAGAAAGAAAGGTAAAATTCTGGTTGGGAAATGTGAGCTGGTGAAAGAAAAAATTCTGCAATAATGGGCACACAGTTCACCTATGGGAGGACATTCAGGAAGGGATGCCACTATCCAAAGAATTAAACACTTATTTCATTGGAAGGGTATGAACAAATCAGTACAAGCTTTCATAAGAGCCTGTATAACCTGTCAAGCTTGCAAATATGATAATGCAGCATATCCTGGCAAGCTTCAGCCTTTACCTATCCCCCAGGAGGTTTGGATGGATATATCAATGGATTTTGTTGAAGGATTACCAAAATCAGGGGGAAGGGATGTTATATTTGTGGTGGTGGATAGAATGAGTAAGTATGCTCATTTTATTACCTTAAAACACCCCTTTTCAGTAGTTGAAGTGGCACAGGCTTACCTAGATAATGTATTTAAGTTGCATGGATGGCCTAGGACTATTGTAAGTGATAGGGGGTCTGTATTCATCAGCAATTTTTGGACTGCCCTATTTAGTGTACAAGGAGTAGACTTGCTATTATCAACTTCATTTCACCCCCAAACTGATGGGCAAACTGAAGTGGTTAATAGGTGTCTTGAAACCTATTTGAGGTGTATGTGTAGTGACAAACCAGAAGAATGGCATAAATGGATACCATTGACTGAGTGGTGGTATAACACCTCATTTCATTCCTCCATCAAAATGACTCCTTATCAGGCTGTCTATAACCAACCTCCTCCTTTGCATCTACCTTACATGGCTGGAGAGACTAAGGTAGAAACAGTTGATAGATCCATGCAGCAAAGAGAAGCTATGATTCAAGTGCTTAGATCACACTTGTTGAAAGCACAGAATCGAATGAAAATACAGGCTGATAAACATAGGTCTGAAAGAAATTATGAAGTGGGAGAGTGGGTGTGGCTTAAGCTTCAATCTTACAGACAGAATTCTGTAGAACACAGAATTAATGATAAACTTTCTCCTAAATACTATGGCCCATTTCAGACAAGTAAGAAGGTAGGGAAGGTGGCCTATCAACTAGTACTACCAGCCGAAGCTAAGATTCATCATACATTTCATGTGTCCCAGTTGAAAGGATTTAGGGGCGAATTACCAGCTAAAGCCCATATACCTGAATGGTTACATGGAAGATGGGGTGATGCTAAAGTAGAACCTGTAGCCATTTTGGAAAGACAATTGGTGCAGTATGCTAATGCAGCAAGGGTGAAGTTCCTGATACAATGGGAAGGCCAAAATCCTGAAGATGCTACATGGGAAT